CATCTAAAGGACCGATGTTTCCTAAAAATGATTAAGGAGGCCTGGCTGCCATGGTTCAGTGGTTGAGCGCTGACCTATGAACTAGGGGGTTACCGGTTCGATTCCCAGTCAGGGCACATGCCTGGTTTTTGGGCTCGATCCCCAGTGTGGGGTGTGCAGGAGGCAGCCGATCAATGATTCTCTCTCATCATTGATGTTTCTCTCTCTCTCTCTCCCTCTCCCTTCCTCTCTAATATCAATAAAAAATATTTTAAAAAATGGTCAAGGAAGAAGCTTCAAGCCAAATGGACAGGAGAGAAGAGGGTGAGAGCAACAGGGAAGGTACTGGGGCATACGTCACTGCGGCTTTGGGGGGTGGGGAAGAGGAGGGGTCTGCATATGCTTCACATGCAACTCTCAGGGAGGTATCAGGTTTGAGTCATTGTAAGGAGAAGTTTTCTTCTCCCAGACCACTGTCTAATTCGGGAAGAGGGCGCTTTGTGAAATCAGAGCCTTTTTCTGGGAGCGAAGACGCTGTGAATCGTCATTGTCACTGAGTTTGCAATTTCCTCTTTCCTGTCTGCTATCCTCAGTGCTTGACTGATTCTCTCAAATAAGCATTTTCCCCCCTGGAGTCAAGCTGAATTCCATTTGACTGGATAAATATCACTGAGCACCTACTGCGTGTGGGCACCATGCATGGGGCTCGGAGGAGGGAGACACAGGCCCTACCCCATGTTCACCGAGCCCCAGATAATTCCAAGAACATCAGCAGTGTTTACCAGCTAGAGAGGTCCTTGATTTTAATTAGGAAGAGACAAATGGCAAGAAAATGACTGTAGTTAATGAGGATGATGATAAAAATCCTGTTATAGGAAGCTGACGTTTATTGAGCACCTACTATTGAAATCTAAGCTCTTCCCATGTATTAATTCATACGATTTTTACAACAAGCCCCATGATGTGGGTGCGGTTAGAAGCCCCATTCCAGAGATAAGAGAAATTTCCCAAGTCACAGAGCTGGTAAGCAAGGAGTTGGCATTTCACCAGCTGAACAGGCAAAACAGCCTGACCCCTCTCAACGGGACCAGGCACTTCTCCATGGTGCTGGGGTGCCCCCAAATGCAACTGCCTACAAGAGTGCCTCTCTTCAATGTCTCCTAGACCCTCGAATTTAGTATGTTCAAAATGGAACTTATTAACACGTCCACCTACCACCCTCTGAACTTGCCTGCCAGTCATCCTATCTCCATACATGGCACCCCTGTCCACCCCGGTGCTCAGGCGAGAACCTTCTCTCATGCCCATATTCATTCCATTAGCTGTTGATTGTGCCACCCAAATCCCCAATACCCAATCCATTGCTTCTCTCCACCCCCACTGGCCAGACCCTGGTTCCAAACACCTAGATGATTGCAGTCGCCTCCTAACTGGTCTCCCTGCTCTCACTCTTCTCCCTTCCAAACCAGTTTTTCACACAAGGGAAGAGTGAACTTAAAATGTAAATAGGACCATGCTGTGCCCCTGCCTAAAACCTTTCAATGTCTTTCCATGTAATGAGAATCCACTCCAGCCTTTAGGTTCCCGCCCTGCTCTCCAACCCTCCCCGTCCTCCTTCACTCTGCACCAGCAGCCCCCCTCTTCTGTTCCTACAGCAGGCCAAGGTCTTTCTTGCTCTGAGGGCTTTGCTCCTGCTGTTCCCTGTCCTTGGAATGCCCTTCCCTTAGCTCTTTGCAGGGCTGGTTCCTTCTCATCCCTCAAGTATGAACTTGAATGTCATGTCCAAAGGAGGCCTTCTCTGTAAGTAAAGGGAGGTATGCTCCTCTCGTTTTTGTCCTTCTTTTTCTTTTAATCCTCACCTGAGGATATTTTTTCCATTGATTTTTTTAGAGAGAGTGGAAGGGATGGAGGGGTTGGGGACAGAGACAGAAAGAGAGAGAGAGGAGAGAGAAACATAAATGTGAGAGGGAC